TTTTTTTTTTTTTTTTCACACTCATTTTATGTGTAATTAATCTTTAAAAAGTGCAACATTTGAGGATGGTTTTGTTTAATATGAGTGATCGGTGAATGTGTCCTGAAAAGCTAGAAACCAAACCGAAATAAAACATTAGAAAATCTAAGGATTTGATTGGACAAAGGATTTTACTAATTTTACTTTCATTTAGAGAGATTTGAATGAACAAAATGCGATAGAAAAACAGAAATGACTTCTGGGAGTGATGGTAGTGCGATGAAAATGTAAGTGAATATATCGATCGCACAGGCTTTCGAGAATCTTAGGTGCTCAAGAGAGGGTTTGTCTTCGTCGGATGCTAGCACGAGGCTTGAGATTTTTGGTCATAACAAACTTTACGAGAAGGTAAAGAATGAATTTGTTAACTGATCAACTCCACTATGGGAGGAGAGGCACTGGAGAGAGGCGACATTAGGGAGCAGCTGATCCCGCTCCTAAAACAATTTGGCCTTTAAATCTTTGGGTGGTTTTTTCTTATTAGTTTTAAAATATTGATTATATATTTTGTGTTTTTTCAGCACCTACAAAAGCACGCTTTTGAGTTTTCACAAACATTTAACGAGTAGTGTTCTATAAATTTGTCCACCTGAAGCCTTATATGGTTTGCTTTATAAAGATCCCCGACATGGACGAGCAAGTTCTCATCAACCGGGACCAACTATTGGAGGTCTTCCGCTCCTTCGACCACGACGGCAATTATAAATATTAACGAATATCTCTTACTCGTGCATCGCACGGGATTCGTACTAGTTTTTGAAGAAAAACAAAAAGTTCAAAATGATTTGGGAAGACTTTTCAAAGAGCATACGAATTTTGCCGCGCTGTGGCCATCCAAACCAGGTTCAAATCTCGACATTTTTCGCAATACCGGAGGCTCGGGTTTCCAAACCGCAGCCTCGGACCCACATTAGCCGTGGATCAACCAAACAGGCAAGCAAATCGACGGCGTTGAAGTCATCCCTGAATTTCAGTTGAATTGTTATTAAATCATCAGTTTGAATCTAACATATGCTCTTATCCTGTCAACGTCTCCTTCATCTCTCTCTCTCTACCACAATATTTAATGCAATTTAATTGCGTGTGAGTCGTGTCGTGGTTGGTTGCTGAAAAATCGTCAACTCTATGTATGCCTTTCTTTTTCTCCATCTCTCAATATAAATTATTCATTTATCATAATTAATTCGAAATTTGCATGCGTGTAGTAATGTGAACTGGCTGAACTGTATTTGTCTTTTTCATGCTTTCATTTTGAAAATCGAAAGCAACAGAGTTACGAGGCTGAGTAACAGTGCTGTTTCCCTTCTCAATTATTATTTGTTATTTTCTTGTCTTTTCTTAAAAAAAAATCGAGCTTAAGAAGAATTGGGGGCATTAATTAATTGACTAATTAATTAAGAAGTATTAAATGCTGAAGGCAGCTTGTTCACATGCAGTGGGGTTATAGAGGGTTCATTTAGCTTCCATTCACTGCAAAGAGGAGAACAAATTAATAATTATCGGAGTTTTTAAAATAAATTCCTCTTTTATGGTTTCACTTTTCAGGCTCTGATTCAAAAACGCGTGAACCTCAAGCGTCGTCGTTTTACATTGATGTCGGCACAGGAGAGGCCGACGTCATCGTCGTCGGCCACGGTGGATCCGCTTCTTAAGGATCTGACGGAGAAGAAGCAGAACTTCCGGCGGAACGTGGTGTCTCTGGCGGCGGAGCTCAAGGAGGTTCGCAGCCGCCTCGCTTCTCAGGAAAACTTCTTTGCCAGAGAAACCCTAACAAGACAGGCATGCAAATGATTGATTTCGGGCCGTTTGATATATTTAATTTTTGAAATGACTGTTTTCCTTTTTGTTCTATATGCATTTGTAATTTATGCCCATAAAAATATTGGATTTATGAATTTGGGTGAGTTGTTTGG